CTATATTTAATGCATCACTTGCGTGGTCTTCCTATTATTTTGTTTTTATATTAACAATTTAACCTCTGCAAAGTCTGGTTCTGTGCATAGATATTCTGGCGAGTAACACATACAAATTCTGAGGTTGATTTTTTCACAAGGTGTCTAATGTTAAATGAATTAGTCGACATAATTCTGTTCAATTGAATCTTCCAGTATGGCTTTCCTTGTGCAAAATTTTTGCAAGAAAATGGGACCATAATGGACGAAAGTTTACACACAAGTTTACTGCAAGGAAACTAAGTTTCTTTTCTAGATCCATATGCCAGTTTACTCTCAACATATTGATATTGCTGTAAAAATTAGAATTATTACTTGCCTGTGCCACTATGTTCTCGAAGACGACAACATCGCCGTTTCAGTTTTTTAAATGGAACCCCTTTTATATTATGGTACCACTTTTTTTATTCTAAATTCAACGTTATTACATAACTTGAGTAACAATATAATTTTATGCTGGCTTAGAAGGCTTTTACTCTGAAAACAAAAATAAATTTTGAAGTAAAGAATGTAAAATGTCCCAAAGTATCTAATTGTACACTTGTACAGATATGCCTCTTTGGCATAATCATACAAAAGAAATGGCAAATGGGAATATATATTCAGCATTACTTCGGATCTGACATTTTATTGCTTTATTAAAATTTTCTTGGGCTCTGTAAAACCAGCAAATAATGAAACTTTTTAAATTGAACCCTCAGAATTGTTAGTGCTTTCTGTAAAATCCGCAATTTTGCTGCATATTCCTACGATTAGAACATCTTCAGGCAGGTTAGTTTTAGGTGAGTTGGCGTTTGAATCCTTGAAAACCTCCTATTTAACGGTTTAATAGCAGAAATGAGAAACTCGTGGGATAATCTGGCCTCATTTATTCGCCAGTTAAATCATTATTTTCTTTGAATGATGCAGTGTGGAAGTATTTAGACATCCCTATAAATCGCATTAGGGTTTGTTAAACTGCATGAATTATAATTTAACTTATAAATCTATCGATTATTAACTAAATTATTTTCAATTACATTTAATTCTTTCTTATGACGCATTTAAAATTGATATTTGTAAAATAAGATAAAAAAAATCAACTAAACTCTTAACAAGTTTAGTTTCTGTCAATATTCCAATTTGATGATTAGAAAATCAATGTCAATTGCAGTGCAATGCGACATCCGTAAGCTATAGCATTAATAGAGTCTTATTAAATATTTTATCATATCATACTAGGAGTATTAGACGTTTTAAATAAATTTATTTCAGTGTAAAACATGTTGGAAATAATGACAATATGTATGTACATTACAATCAACACTTCATGTTCATAATATTTTGACATGTAGGCGTAAAATAATTCGACAGAATGGATTTCACATTAATTAAAAATATATTTTACGTTTACATTTAATAAATACCACTTTATTTGCATGTCGAGAGATATTATTTGTAAATAAATCTTTTTATAGTTTTATTACGCTCTATTTTGCCAGTTATTTGCATTACACCAGAAACATTCAAACTTTTAATTCATTAACTATGATATTAACAATAATTTCTAGTCAGCCATCAGTTGCCATTAAATATTATCTGTTAGCTTTATAATAATATGTGAGAATAGTGTTCTGCTACTCTACTCATCCTCAACAACTCAATAGAAAACTTCCTTACTTATATGAGACTACACATTCTTATATGAGTTCTAAATGCTCAACAAATAAGTAAAGCGCTTATCACACGTTACGATAAAACTCAGAAATTTATCTGCACAAGCAGATCTGCGCATTTAAATCGCACGTTTTTATAGCGCCCACAACGTAAATAACGCAGAAAAATCTGCGCAGATCTGTGTGTGCACGCTAAGTTTTATCGTAATGTGTGTAGCCGGCTGAAGTATATGATGTCTAAAAAAAAATAAAAAATTTACACAGTTAAAAAAAATATTTTGATGAATTAAAATCTATTTAATTTAAGCAAATCTTTGTTTAAAATTAATTTTTATTTTCAGCTTCATAAATACTTATTTCTAAATAAATTATATTATATTCAGATTACGATTATTAAATTTCTCAATAAAATTATTATTCACGAAGGGAAAGAAATTAAACAGTTTGTGGCGCAGAAATACATCTTTTAAAAAAATTATTTAACTTGTACCTGCACTTGATTAAAATAATATAAAACTATTACGAATATAAAGAAATTGCAAAAACGCCTAGCCAAAACGCCCTATCGGGGAGAGCAATCTTTCCTGTTAACCAAGGCTCCCATTACATCCGCTGTCCGCAGACTATGGTTTGTAGCTACTTTTCTTCAACAATAGAATGGAAGAATCCTGAACTGTTTTATAACTGCAGAAGGCCCGGCAGAAGAAAAACATATAGTCTGGGCAATACTTATTCGCCCCTCAAATTCCGACCTAAAATATGAACTTGGCAAAAACGGAACAAACAATTTTAAATGAACTGTTTACTTTATAAATAATATATACTCCCAAAGGGAGTCGGAGTACATAGCTACAGACCAGGGGTGAGAATATCCTCAAACCTAGGTACTAATGCTAGTTGCATTAGTACCATTTTCAGCCTGAGGTTCATGTCATTGAACTGTGTGCGTAGGCTGGAATATATGCATTTTACTCGCAGACCAATACCAATTTTCTTAGATAGCCAAGCAGCTATAAAAGCTCTTGGTTCCTACCGATGTAACTCCAAAACGGTATGGAACTGTCAGAAGGCTCTAAATTATTTGGGCAAAAACAACAAAGTAACTGTGGTCTGGATACCCGGCCACTCTGGTATGGAAGGTAATGAAACAGCCAACTCTTTGGCCAGAGGAGGAGCGGGATCACAAATCATCGGACCAGAACCGATACTTGACATATCTTTAAGTACTACTAAGATGGCTATCTCAACCTGGGCGAAAGGAGAACTCTCCAATATTGGCAAAAGTTACCAGGATTAGTTCATTCGAAGGCGTTTATAAAATACCCTTTGAAATCAAGAGCTAAGAAACTTTTAAAGTTAAACAGGGTAAACCTGAAAACTCTAACAGGCCTATATACCGGGCACTGCCGACTATACTATCATGTGCATAAACTTGGCCTAGCGGTAAACGTCGAGTGTCGTCTATACCTGGAGGAGGATGAGAAGGCAAACCAAATAATATGCACCTGTCCACATTCTCACCCAATGAGGTTATCAGTTTCATTAAGAAACTGAACTTATTGGGTGATATATAATTAGGAGTGAGCCACAATAGGCCCGCTGATGGCCGCGGTGGAGGGTTCACGGGGCCCCACTCACAAAAAACTTAACTTTACCCATAGAAAATATTATTTGCTTTTAAATTGACCACCACAACAGGATGAAGATAATTGAAAGGGTGGACGGATAAAGGTTTAACTGACATTGCCTCAAAAATTAGACTATCCTTTTCAATAAACATGTTGTGATGTTACAACTTATCACCAATGTTTTGTTATATTTCTATGACTAGATGCTTAAATACTGAATGGATGAAGAGGCTAAGAAACAACTCCTCGTCTCTGGTGAATAAAGTGTGTTAAAAATGTTTTTTGTGATAAATCAGCAATTTGCTAATTATTACCTTTATCCATCCACCCCTTCAATTAATATGTAGGTAGGTATATAGATATTATTTTATTATCATGTGGTAACATTTCAATTAATTGATATTATTTGTATAATTATTTTTAATTAGAACGTCTATCTTGAATTTAGAGTTATTTATACCTACGTTGTTTCAAATTTACACCCTTTCTACTCGTTGTGTCGGGTGGGCCCCGCGGCCGCCCAGGACTTCCGCCAGACCTGAAGACAACTCAAGAAGTGAATTCCTCTGTTCAGCATTTTATTGCAACTAATTTGGATAAATGCCTGACTGTCAAATTATACAAGAAGGAATATTCTACATTTTAATGGAAGTAAATATATTTTAAAAACGAACAAACGAACAAATAAATAATAATAATAATTTGAACAAAGTATCATTATATTATGAAATCTCATGATATTGAAAATATTATTCCTATTCTCATAACGAATTTCAGCACAGTAAATTTAAAGGATTCCTCAAATCAACACGATATTTGCTGCGGTAGAGATAGTGTAAAGCAGAAAAAAATTGTATCGCGGTAAATGGAGTCACTCATATTGACAGCAGGATATGGCGCGCTATTTAAAGAATATTTCTTCTATTTGGCGTGCACAGGTAAAAAATTGTAACAGTACAATTGCCGCGCTATCCGAAAGATATACGCTGTTAGCATCTCTGATCCCATTTACCGCCATATGTAAACTTTTCACCACATATTATTGCTACTGCATTGATTTGAGAAACTCTTAAAACTACATGCCGTTTCCACACATCTAATGTTAGTGTGCGGTCACACATAAAGCGGGTAGCGGAGAAGGTAGCGTAGCGGAGAGTAATGCGGACAGTAGCTACACAAGTAGTTGATTTAAAGGCGTATTTTAGTTAAATTTTGCAGATAAACAGTATTTAAGAAATATCTATCGAGTAGTATGTGTACAACAAAATGTATATTTCAAATATACTCCTACATTGTTAATTGAACTATTACTACAATACTTGGAAATTCCGTCCCATAATTTATCCAAAGCACCTCGGTTGCGATGTTGAGGATGTGAAATATTCATTTTAACATGCGTGTATTCTCCAACCTTCGTGAAAAAATGACCAAATACGCGGCCTGTACGCATGAAACTATCAAATAAATTTAAACTCTCCACTACTAGCCGACAGACACACCTCCTATCTGCTGTCGGCTCCGCGGTATGTGTGGCCGTACAGATATCTTTTAGGTAGATTCAACGCTCTCCTACCATCTCTGCTCTGCTCTCCGGTCCACTGTCCGCCTTATATGTGGCCGCACTCTTACTGCTAATGTAATAATAACGAATATAGCTTCGGAATATGGCTTCGGTTATGGCTTCGTGGCCGAACGGTAAGGACACTTGCCTCTCACCCCGAAGGTCTGGGTTCGATCCCCGACCGAGAAGCTAGGATTTTTCTAAAACAGAAGTTAATCCTAGCATACTCGCATATTGAATGTGTGTCCATTGTCTCTAAATGTGTAGCCCTCTCCCGCACAAAGTACCCTGAAGTACCTTCAGAGATACAAGGAGTTGTATTTATTATCTGTGGTGTTGAATTTTTTAAATAATATGGCGTTAATTTGAGAGAATATTTAGTTTCGTCACACATAATACGACATACCTTAATTGTATTGACAATATGGCTTCCAGGAGAAAATTTCAAATTCTGCATTCTTAAAAATTATAACGATTAACCATTAAAATATATAATACGCTACTCTTCTCCCTAGGTGAAACATACCTGAAGCGGCTACTCTTTCAATTTACTGTCAAGGCTAAGTACTACATAGCACGATGATAATAAAGGCAAAACTAAATTATACGGCTCCAGATGGTACTGATAATATGTATTTAATAGGGCAACCAAAAAGTTACAACTCTTCTTAACCTTTCCAGAGCTTCAATGTGATAGTAGAATGTTTTCCGATATTTTGTGATGACCATATTTAAAAGTTTTCCGTCTGTGTGCATTCCGAAAATTTCGCCTCATTTAAAATCAACGTGTTAAGAAAGTTAAATAATTAACGAATTTATATTCTTAAGTTTTCCTTAGATTTTTTAATTATTTTTTGTATTATGTTATTGCATTATATTTTCGGTTTAAGGTTGCTTTATTTATTGAAAACATTGTATTTATACTTTTTATTTTTAATATTTTTTTTGTTTCAGGTAAGGGCATATTTCAATAATTGCAAGTAAACAACGCATGGCAACGAGGTAATATTTTACACAGTAAAAGGTAAAGTTAGAAAACTTACAATAGTCTTTATTATTTTATTGGTCCAAAATTTCTATAAACGGTTCATCGTTTACAGACATTTTAGGCTTTGCCTGTAAAAACTTCTACTACTTTTGCAGTTTCATTTCATCAAGATTATATAAATTAAATGGTTGTATCGTAAAAGTGGCCAGTTCTAAGCTCAATTGATTATCTACCAATTTATATTTAACCGAAAAACTTTCCCCAAAACCAGAAAGTATGAGAAATATGGAAAACTGCTTTTTGTGTCCAATTTGTACTATTTTAAAATATAGTAACCAGTAGGAAAATATGCGAAAAAACGTTTCCTTTAAATTAAATTTATAACTACAAGATGGTCCACAGGAGTACGAAAGTTTGAAAATAAGAATTCTGAAAGTAACTGTGTTTAACTGAAACAAAGTGTCACAATAGTAAGGTTTTATGCCATTTTTATTAAAAACTATGCCGGTCGAACGACCTCCCCTTCTCTGTATTCACTCGGTTGTTGAAATTATCCTAACACGACCCAATATGGAATGTTAGCAATATTTTTTCGGCTCCTGAAGATTTCTTACTTTATCAATAAAAACATTGCCCTTTAGGGAGACTTCAAAAAAGTAATTGCATACAGTAAAATCTACTAATTTTGAGGCCATTCGATGTACCCAGGTCTGAAGATGACGTGCTCCGGAAATATTTGAGTATTTTGGTGAAAATTGTTGCGTCAGAAACTGGTTGATCGTTTTGGTATTGCACTCAGCATTGACTATTACAACATTATCATTCTCATCTTCAAAAAAGTAGGGACCGATGAGTCTTTGGTTACTTCGAAAATAGTTTAAGATAGAATTGTCTATTACTTCATTTGTTAATTAATACCATCACGAGGAAATCCAAGTGAAGGTTTACGGCTCAACCGTAGTTGATTTTGTCAATCCAGCTCGAGCAGAATACTTTGGTCCCTGGAGCTGCCTGCGCCGTTATATTTTAAGATAAGTGCTCTATAGATTGACTATTTGAAAGATCATATGACATTTTTTTGTTATACTGTGTATTTTATAAATAAAGGTATTTTACTTTACAGCTACCCTATTGGTTGCATATATTTATTCTTTTGCTTAGTTCTCATTCTTAATATTGTACAACTACTTTTTGCTATCATTAATTTTTTTTAATAAATTCTATAGCATCCGTAAATTTTTATTAGTAATTAGATAACCTTAGTACTTTTTAACCCTAGATAACATTTCATATTTATTATATTATAAGAATTTTTTAGCCTTTGGCCTAACTTTAATTTTATTAATTTTAATTATATTTTAATTTTCTTGGCTAATTATTTGTTTTTTACACAGCAAGAAGGATCAGTAAGACCTTCGGGACCAATTCAGTATATTCAATCTTATACTACAATTGAGGAGGAAGCATGCATAATGTAATAAACCCTTTTTATCCATTTTGGACTAAATCGCAAAATTGTTGTTACTTTAGATCCCTTTGAAATTTTAAAGTACTAATTAAATTCTTTTGGTGTAATTGTCAAGTAGCTTTGGCAAGGCTATTATTGCAAATTTATGTAAAGCCATTTGGACGTTATTCAAAAAACTATTTCGGATTTAACCCGTTTTGATTGATCTGGATTTATTACCGTTTGCTTGCCTCATGTTAGAAATGATGTCAATTTGTTCGAAAATGAGTATTATTATATTTTTTGTAATGTATTTTAATGACTAAAAACCCATATTACGAAAAATGGAACATACAAAAAATATAAAAGATATTTTTTTTTAAATGAAAATATTTAGCAGGGGCGTGCGGTGAGTTTTGATACAGGGGAAGCAGTTTGTGATATAGAGTGATGGGTAGCGCGAGGCAAAAATTATTTTAAGAAAAGGGACGTGGCTTCCGTATACTCATTTTAAAACAAATGTCGCAAGCTGCAAAGTTATGACATCTAGAAAAAAGTACACTTGTAGGACCGCCACTCCTCAATAAACATAAAACATAAAAACACCACAAAAATTAGACAACCCCCGATTCCAAAGCCGAAGCTGCACGGGCGAGGGTTACACTTATGAAAAAAACGCAGACACACAACCATATCCACCGACATTGCCAGCGTCGGTGGCGAGGATTGAACCCGCAGCGAAATAGAGAGCTTGTTAAGTAGTTAACATGCACATACCTACCTATTTACAATGTAGTTTAATCCGCCTCTCCTTTTTTGCGATGTCGGAAATAACTTCGTCGTAAAAGTTTGAATTTTTGGACATCTTCACAAAGTCACTTTCTATTGTTAACAGGGACAATTTTGAAAGCCGCTCTTCACTGGTTAAATTTCTTGAAAAAGTTTTTATTCTCGTGTCCGTTTTGATAATTTTGAAAAAAAGGCAGCCATTCCACTAATACTTGAAAAAAACACTTTGCACTCTTTAAGACACGCTGCAGATTGAGCTAGAACTAAATTTAACCGTAGCGCAAAACAATGTACAAATATTGCATTCTGAAAAGTCTCTTTTACTTTGGCCTGCAGGCCCCCCAATTCACCAGCCATTACAGCGGCCCCATCATAACTTTGGGCGATAAGTTTGGCACCACACTGTAGATCATCGACTATCTGACAAACTATAGTATATAAAGCTGCGGCCGTTCATGGCGTTGCTACGTCTAAAAATCCTAAAAAGCGCTCTTGGAATTTCCCATTTGGATTTATGTAGCGTACTACGATTGACAACTGACTAATATTCGTAATATCGGTTGTTTCATCTAACATAACTGCAACAAAAAGGAGCTTTTTTATTTCTTGCTTGATCTTTTCTAAAACAATATTGCTTATCGACTGAATCAAATCATTTTGAATATGATTTGATGTACCGCGAAATATCGTGGAGTGTTCCAGATGGTTACTTAAAATTGTATCGTATTTTGCTAATAAATCAACTAAATTGATAAAATTGCCCCTATTAGCAACGCTTCGAGATTCAGTATGACCTCTAAAACTAAGTTCATTTTCGCCGAGGAAAACAAACAATATCAATAAGTCCTTTTAACACTTTCTTTCAACTGCTGATCTAATGAATGCTCAATTCGTGATTTTCCAAATGTTTATTCTTTTAGCACCGCTCCCAAATGAGTTTCACACTTACCATGCCTTTTTTGTCACTTTCTGAATGTTGTTTAAATCTGAAAAGCCATTTTTATTCCAAACACCTTTTTCATTTGTGAACAGTACACATGGCCAACAAAACAATTTACACAAATTTTCACAACCCCTTAACTACTGATTAGCACTGTACACTTCAATATTAAAGTACCTATAGCATGATTTAACTTTCGTTTTTAAGAATTTTAAATCAGGTGTTGGTTTCTCATTTCTAATAATATCCAGTTTATCTTGAAACGAATATGTTGAAAATCCCCTTTTCAACAAATTGCACACCACACAAACGCAAATAATATTTTCCACAGTGCTAGAACCAGCTTCCAAATTTAATAAGTAATTCTAAATCTGCGTACACGCGCACTAATAATCAACGTTTTAAAAATCACTTGTCGCCGCACCACAGGTTTAGAAACACCAAAAAAGTTTTTACAAATATAGCACAAAAGCTGAGAATAATACTAGGAAGATTAACATTAAGTATAATATTAAAATCGATATTAAAATCGAGATTAAAATCTATAAAATAAAACGTATTACGATGCTATACAGCTCAGATATCAAGATTATGAAGTGGGATGGGATGCATTTCAATAAGTTACCTACTTACCAGAGACAGTTGTCTCTGCTTACATGTATCGAAGTTGCGCGAGTTCGTGTTGGCTCGATTAATCGAGTGCGTCATCGTTACGGTTTTAGCGTGCAACATTATCTCAGCTGCATAAAAGCAGGGCCGTATCTATTGAAATTGGGTAAAAGTAAATTTTAATGATTAATATATGTGATAAATAATAATTAGGTTCTATTTATGTGTTTTTTAAAATAATCCCAGGGGAAGCACTGCTTCCCTTGCTTCCATGGACCGACCGCCCCTGATATTTAGATATATATCCCAACGTCATCTTCTAAACAGTCACATTCCTGTTCTTGCCCATACTCAGTATTAATGTCCTGATTCTCACTATCTAGATTTTCATCAGACAAAATTTCGCTATATTATTGTCA